TAAATGTAATAATTTGAACTGTTGTTAGTTTGAACTTTTAATAATATACCAACTGACAGGGTTGTATAGTTCACAGCTTTAGTTAAGATTTTTTTACTTCAAGAGAAATTGATATGTGTTCTACCATATACATACAAAGAAATAAATCAATATCAAATCAAATTTGTAATCGAGCTTGTGAATCAAGTCAATAAGCTTTCCTATTAAAAGTGTTTATAAGTGCTAATAATACGTTTGTGTTTTAGGTCTGATTGTTCATGAAGGTGGTGCTGTGTACAATGTGCTGATGCGCTGGCGGGCTGTTAATCTCTTCTGGGACGTCCAGAACTACGATAAAAGCCGAGACCTGGAAAGCCCGCACCGCAACCTGTGGCTGCCTCTCACACACACACATACAGTCTCCAACACACACTCACAAACCACCCGACTGGAGTCATCGCCTCGATGCCCCCTCCGCCTCCTCTCCATGTGCCTGAATGTGACCTCTGACCTCTCCCCGCAGGAGCAAGGCTCAGGCGAGCTGGTCGTTAGGGTCACGTCAGTTTGACATCAAATGAAACTCTTTCAGGGATCAATCGAACGTCCTTTGTGGGAGTGGCTAACCAGTGGGAGGAGCCTCAGTGTTGGGAGGAGCCTTACTTGAAAAGCACTTTACGCTTTACGAAAATACACAAACTGAATTAAATACAGTATTAAGTTGCATTGTATACTGAACAGGTGTTTCCAGCCTGAAGTTCTGGATCAGCCTTTGAGCATCGAAGTAAGACTGCAAAGCTCTCCACACACAGACTAATTCAAAATGATAATGCACACAAAATGTATTACTGTTGTTAGACGAATGAATGTTTGTTTTAAACCAGTTGTTTTTATGTTCAGGTTTTTAATCATTTCAGTACTGATAAACTACAACTTATCACTGCTGCTGTTCATTACGCTTCACCTGCCATATTGTACAGGTTACCACAGTTACAGGCTTTTTCACATTAAGCCGCATTTCCACTATCTCCGACATATGTGTACGATCGTTACATTTTGCCCCTAGTGGCAGCTGCATGGAACTTTCAAATTGGTTGTGAAGCAGCCTTTACCCTTAGCTTATTCACCATGGTAAAAAATAAATCATTAATGTATATCAACACAAAACAAATGCGCGCCGATAATGACAAAGCTGCTGTAAACATTGATTTCACAAGTAATCTAGAAAATTTGCAAAGTGGTAGCAAAAGTCGAACAAACGTTGAGAAAACGCTAAAAAAACTTAATACCAAAAAATTACTTGTGCATCTAGCAGAGCATAAGTATTTTAAGTATACAATGGAGCATAAGTATTTTGTCAACTATATTCATATATCATGGCAGGTTTATTAGGAAGCTAGATTAGGATTCAAGGTAAAGCAGAGGAGAAATGCTATGGAAGCCCGTTTCCGTAACAGAATAAAAAAAGTAAATAAATAAAAATTGCGACTGTCAAACAATTCAGAATTGCAAGACAAACTTAAAATTCAAATTTTTCCCCCAAAATTCAGAGTTTACATCTCGCAATTCTGTTAAAAACAGTATTGTGACTTATGTCAATATTCTGACTTTTTCAACCTTCAAATCGCAAGTTTATATCTCCCAATTCTGATGGAAAAAAAGCAAATTGTGAGAAAAAAAATGTCAGAATTGGGAGATATAAAATCAGAATTGCAAGAAAAAAGGTCTGAATTGTCAGCTGCAATTACCTTTTTTTTTATTCTGTGGCATAAATTGGCTTCCATAAAATGCATAGAAGATGCTAGGGTGTTGTGGGTGGTTGGGCAGGCGGTCTCATGTGGTCTAGATGCAAAAGTTCAAATATTTCAACACATCCGAAGCCCAAATCGGATCTGAAAATTCTGCATACAGTCAGAACGCCACACAGCTCCTGTACTACTCTCCATTAACAATCAAAGACTTCACAGATTAATGCCACGCCAGACAAGGCTGCGAATACATTGATTTCACAAGGAAGTAGTGGAGACGCACAAGGAATTGCAAAAGTTGCACAAACATTGAGAAAAACGTTAACTTTTGCTGCAATGCATTCTGTTGTAGGAATCTGTCAATATGAAATTCTGTGTCAATTTATTCTATTCCCACCTGATTTTAAATGACCCTCAGAAAGATCTTACACATTGTCCTCGGTCAATGCCTAAAGGCCCTACATCTCATGTTGCTTGTATTAAGAGCAGAAACTAACTGACTTTGGACTAGTCTAGACTCATACAACATTCATAAAGAAATTGAGTTGGTGGTTAGATATCGTCATGTTGGTAATCATTGTGCCCTGAAGATACCAAACCCTAGCTGAGCGATTTAAGAAGCTATTTAATACTGATATACAAGTAATATAAAATGTTAGGAGTGAAATAATTACAAATATGTTTTAACATCGTAAGCACATTGAAAATCTTCTTAAGCAGCTCACACTAGAAATGCAAATATATCTGCAGATTTTCATTCAAAATCAGCACAGAAAATATAAAAAAGTCCACTGATTCCATCTGGGCACATTGTGTTTCTGTCCTTGAAACTTGACCTGCGTTCATGACTTGGTGCTAGCTGATTAGCATAGCCTACAAAAGATTTCATTCAGATGTTCCAGAGATGTAACAAGTGTTAAATGAGTCTTCTGTCAGAGAAACCCATTCTGTACTGCACAGAGCGAACATGAATGAACATTTTAATGAATGTAAGAGTCTTTGAATTTTGTTATATTTATTGCCTATAAACTAATGCACAGTAAAGATACAAAATGAGAAAGATTTTTTTGTTTTAGTGTTTTTATAGGCTTACAATAGAAAAATAACAGGACCAGAG